TTAAATGGTTAAGAAACAAACACTAAGGAACACAAACAAGCTGAGCAGATGGGGAGGATGTGAAGCCAATCATATTTAAGTAGCTGAGACCAATTAGAAAGGTATCAGTGAAAGTGTAAAACTGCAGCCCTAAAATGGAAAGCAAAAATTCAAATACAATGTCATGGTTGACAGCATCTAAGGCCTATAGAATGTCAAGAAGCAGCGAGAGTGTAATGTTACATCCTTAATAAGCAATTTATTAGCAATTCAGGCCAGGAGTATTCTGGTTTGGAAACCAGATTGAAATCTATGTGGAATGGAAAACAGTTGGACATTCCCATTAATTTCTGCAGATACCACATGCTCAGGTAGCTTCTGCACAAATAATAATTGGCAACAGACTACAAATGATACATCATTACATCCTTAGGTTTTAGAAAAGTAAAGTGACATTGTGCACTTAAAGTCAAACGATACCCGGAGGACAGGGAATATTCAAATCAATTCATATACTGACTACACCACAGTAACTTAAAAGTGAACATCAGTCTGTAGTCCAATCATACATAATATGGAATAATTTTGTAAAATAAAAAGGGAGAAGAAACCTGATAAACTAAGCACAACTGTTACTGTTATTCTTAGCTATCCAAGGGCAATTGCAAACAGGCAAGAATGTCTGATGCAGGTAATACCTAAGCAATGCAGGACTCAACATTTAATGAAATTATTCCTGTTACGGCAGGAACTGGGAGCCTTTTTAAACCTGTGGATTGCATTCCCACATAGGGAATCTTGGGGGGGTCACATGCCAGTAGTGAGTAAGGTGAGGGGCAAAAGTGGATGGAGCAATGGAGGCAACTCTTACCTTACATTCCAGCCACGTAGCCATTAGAAATTTTGTGTTGCCCAACTCTAACTTGGAGTCAGACACTGGCTCCTTCAGAGTGAAATGGCAGTCTGCTGACAGCATGGCTAGGGGACCTGCGTCTCTCCAGATTTTGCTGGACTACAGCTCCCATCATCAATGACCATTGGCCATACTGGCTGATAGAAATTGTAATCGGACAGCTTCTTGAGGGCCCCATGTAGACTGTCCCTGATCTAGCATATAATAAGGAGGAATAAGTTGGAACCCGTGTCCCTGGCATAGTAAGGGAGATGTTAAGAGATTTTATTTTATTTTTAACCAAATGGAAGAACATTTGATTCACAATCTCCCCTCTGTAGCCTGAACTGGAACAGTCAATAAAGACTATCTCTTGTGATGCTTGGATGGCCAGATCCATGTTTGTTCCATGTTTTATGGAGCCCTTAAACCATAGGAAACACAGCAAGAGCCATCATAGTCAAAGAGAGTCCTGCCTCATCATATATCTGAGAAATCTGTTGAGGCAATTCTGCTTTACAACACAGCAAGATGAAGCCTTAGCCATCCAGTGTATCAAGTAAGATGAGAGCAAATGATGTTCCCATTTGTTTTCCCATTGCCATTTTCATGTCTCTTCACAGATTGACCTCCTAGTTTAAGGCCCATCATTTGAATGTATTCCTGCATCCCTTTGACTCAGCTCTCTGCTTGACATTCAAGTACCTGAAATTCCCCATTAGCTTTCTTCTGGCAAAGAACTCATGTGCTCCATTGAGCTATATCTGTTGTTGTTTCTGCTGCTGCACACACCGGTTCTCAAGACTCTTCTCAAGACCAAGAAAACAAGGCTATACAGATGCAAGCATCCTCAATTTCAGTGGCTGAAATTGCTTTGGGGGCATAGAACAGATCTAATCCCCATAGCAATACTGCACACAGGTCTGCCTATTCTATGTGGGTACCTTTCTTTTTTTCTAATGTAAGTGAATGGCTGCAATTCACTAGGAAAAAGTAAAGGACTGTACTTGAGGACACAGTTACAGTGAAGGAAGAAACTTCATTCTAATAGTGGGTGATCCAGCCCTCATTAAAAAAGATCCTGAAAGATGCCCTGCAGGGTACCAGTTGTCCTTCGAAGGAGGAATACCATGCATTTCCAAAGAGCCTTTGCAACTCCTCACTCCATTCATACACTGCCCCCCCACCAATAATAATGCATGTTTTCTTGGCAATTAATAAAATTTATACAAAGCTGCAGGGTAATAAACTGACATTCCAGCCATTCTAGTCCTTAAAAAAAAGCTTCACAAAGTTATAAAAATTGTTAGCTCAAGATGACCTTGTATTCAAAAAGCCTTTCAGAATATTAAGCACAGAGACCCAAATGGTTTGAGAAATAATGAGCTAGACATTGCTCTTACATTACTTTAAAGGTGATTAGTGCAAGTGGGTATGTTTCAAACTAATGGATCAGGCTAGGCCTGTAATACCAGCAATGATGGACTGCTTAGCATTGCGCTCAGGTATGTAAATAGCAGTTAAATCATTCAGGAGTAGTTGGCTGGTATCCAGAAATTGGCAAAGACATATCCTAAGACCTTGATTAGAATTCTGTCTGCATTACGGATGCTACTTTTAGATAAACCAGACATGCTTGCTGAATATTGCCCAATGTTGGCTATCTAAAGTATGAAAAATTCATTGTTTAAAATGATAATGGATGAACTGTTAGTTTTATTTAGATCATGGGATTAGATAAGAACTGTCAAGGGCCCCTCGGTTCCATCAGGATCTGGCATGGTTTGGCAGCTCCACAGGACGAGGAATGAAACAAGGAGGGAGGGAGAAGGAGAAGGAGCAAAGTGGGATTGGAAGGTTAGAACCCAGAGATGTAGGGTGAATGTGACTCTAGGTGACTCTAGGTGGCTCATTCATTGCCCCTACCACAGTGCATAGAGCCTTATTAGGGAGGGTGGAGGACTTTGAACACCCAGAGATAATACCTGAAGAGGAGGTGGCACCAGAGCTGAAGTAAGAAGAGGAGGATGCAGTCTTGTCACCAAGAACCAGGTGCTACCTTTGTATGTGGAAGCACGTGTGTGTTTTCATGGCAGACCCATAGAGCAAGAGAGTCTTGTGAGCGAATTCACTCCATCTCATCTTTAGAAACATGGCAGGTGGGATATGTCAATGATTGGAACATCTTGGTAGCTTCCATTCAGTTATGGACCTCTCGCCTTACACATGTATTTTGGAATCTTTCCTTCTGGACCTTAGGCTTGCTAATGAGCCTGTGCCACTAATAGCCTGAATAACAATCTCTTCCCTGCTCACCACTATCATTGTGTTTGGGGATGGGAGCCTGACAAGAACAGGCCTTACATTCACCAACTTGTCTGCACCAACAGCAGACTTGCCCCCCCGTGCCACTGCCACTGCAGCCGCTGTGGCTACCAACACAGCCTCTGACACCACCACAGTCTTCTCCTCCTTTGCCGATGCTGGTGTGTTACATATTTATTTCAGTTGACTTTGGCATAAGGAACCCAATCTAATTATCTCTGACCCTGAAGGGATCCCATGAATTCCTTTTTACCTTTCTATAAGAGAGTCAATACAACTTAACACAAGTCCTAAAACAGTTTTGCAGGAATCAGCGGCCTGTCCGTTGTTCCAGATGCCAAACCAAATGATTCTTCCAGCCAGCCAGCCAATTAGTCTGGCACTCACAACACTTGCTGCTACCATGCCGCTCATCAAACAGCCATTCAAGCATAGCAACCTCAGCTCCAGATTAATGCCACCAGTCCCTGGAGAGACTTCAGTAGAAATGAAACTCCTGAAGTTGGTGTGCATGATCAGGGACCTACTTTGGACTATCCACTTCAGAAGATACCTAGATATTTTTCAAGCGGCTTTTATGAATTGTGGGGGCAAACATGCTCTCCCATGATCTGGAATTCATGTAAGAGCTATGAATATGTTCCATCACGTATTTGATCATGTGGCCAGTGAAAACAATAGATTTCATCAGGATAATGATGAGATGCTCAACTTTAGATCTGTTCTTAGATGAGAAAATCCATAAAACAATGACAATGAAAAATGAAAACTTCTCTCTTTATAAAGAGAAAGTGCTAGACCGTGGAAGAGATATGAGACAATGCTAGGATAAACTCAGAAGAAAAATAACAGAAACTTAGTAGAAGAAAAGAAAAATGTCATAGAAAAAAGAAGGCAATCAGAAGACCACTGGGTTGATTTATACATTTTCTTCCTCATGACTGAGATACTCAACTCATTGACCTACATGCCAATGTTAAGTTATCAGTGTGTTCCAGAGGAATATAGCAAACCAAACAAGCTCAGAATGCCAAACAGGTGCGTTAAACCAAAGGCCTTTGTTCACTCAGCCAGTAAATATACTTACTGGCATATATGTTCAGGAAAATATTAAACAACTTGTCCCCAAAGGTGGGGGGGGGAGCTATTTTGCTTCTAACATTTGTTTTGCTGTTCACCCAATAAAGAAATAAATTGCACTTTTTGGTACTGAACATGTTCTAAAAGAACACATTTTATACATCAACATTAATTATGCCCAAAGTAGATTTATTATTGTGTTTTACATAAAGGTACTCCCCAAAGAGCTGTTTGCTTATGCAGTATAAAAGGCTTCTTAATAGTCTGGGAGCTATCATAATTGGAGTCACTGTGGGAGTCCTTGAAAATAAGTGTCTACAACAAAACATTCCTTGTTAAATGTTTAGCAAATATGGTACTGAAATTCTTCCTAAGATTATGATAATTTGGACAGTGTCCTTGTTAGAGTTTCATTACTTCTTGTTCTAACGGATGTAGCAAACACATGGCACTCCAAAAATGTTTTATTTGCATTTCAATAACATCTTTGTATTTTCTCTGTTACTTAATTTTTTTCCAGGTGGGAAGCTATTCTACTAACTTGATGACAGGAGATTAAAGATATTTTTTATCTAATGTGCCATGTAGCTTCTGGTCAAAGACACAGATATCAGATGAGATAAAGCAAGTGGCTGGTTCCAAGAACTGTTATCCAAAACTTTAAATCCCTTCTTTGGCACATTTGTCATATTTCCAAAGCCATGCATGTAACAGATGTGGAAGGAGATTTGATGGAAATTATGGAGATTTGTCCTCTTGTCTTTGCTGTTTTTTTCTGGTTTGATCTGTGCTATTTTCCTCTCCTCTTGAATTCTGGTTTAACTAGGAGAATTTTATAAAACAAGTTAGGGAGTTGGAAAATGCATTGTTTTTAAAATTCATTTCAATTTTACCCTCTGTCTTACTGATGTGCATGGCTTTATTGATAAGCCATGCCAAAAAAGAAGAAAAAAGTTAAAAAAAAAAGTTTAACTGCAGGGTCAGCAAGGTCATATGACCGTGGAGCTAAATATTTAGACTGGCCCCTTACTGTCACCATGTAGATAATAGCATTTGCAGTGGGACATTTCATTTTTGTTTCCTGCATTTAAACACTGAAATCCCAACTACACAATGTTCTGGAACCAAGACTGATATATTTTTGGAAATGGATCTTAGGTCCTAGGTGGCAGCTGTGAATTCCGTGCTAGGAAACATTGGGAAAGGGGTAAAAACGAGAGCCTCTGTTCACCGACTCAAAGATTCGTACCCCAAAATTAATTATCTGAAACTCAGTGAAGTTGGGAAGCAAGAAGAAAAAAACTGCCAGAAATTATTTTTGGGAGGTAGGGTAAAATTGAAGTAACGTTCGGGGATTAGGGCTTTCGGGAGGAATGCTAGTGGGAAAGCTTCTTATTCCCATTTTTCATCTTTGTTTTGCCACCATTGCAAACAGTAGTGGTGCCACTATGCAGCATCCCTCCCCACCAAACAGGGTGCCATTAGAACACTGCTAAAACATGATGCCAGAGGCATTGTTTGGTGGGAAAAGTGGTACATTAGAGAATCACTGTCTCTGCTTCTGGCAGCAGCAAGACAAGCTTAGAGAGGGGGGAAGGAAGGAAGGAAGGAAGGAAGGAAGGAATGGAAAGGTGCTCTTATCATAGCTCCCTGTTAAGTCATTGCCCCCAAAAGTCAGTAAGGATTTTGCCTTACTGGAAACATTGCCTATAGGCAGCCCCCACCTACAGAGACTTCATATATGACTTTGAAAGTGGTGTGGCTGTCTTCACTAAGTTATAAGTGCTTTACGTAGATCTAGTGGTGCCAATGGATGCAAGTCAACAGATAGCTGGACTAGTCACAAGCACAGCAGAGAGGATGAATCAGTTTCCCCCCACTTCAGCTTCAACTTTGAAGCACTCTCAGATTTACTAAGCCAGCACAATAAGATACTGCAGAAGGGCATAAAAGAATATGTGTTTTCATTGTCTTTTTCTATGACACAATCAAGCCATCTTTGTCTTCAGTCTTACATTGCATGCAAGTGACTTGAGCATTGAACACCCTAGTCCCAAGAATGAGTGTGTGTATGTGTGTGTTTTATCTTTTATCCTAACATTTACCCCCTGCAAAGATAGGTGATACGGCCAGTGGCTATATGCATGACAGGAAGTTACATCTCCTTCTGGGAAAGTGCCAGTGGTTTTATACTCTTTCTTTAACCCGATCCTTACAAGCATTCCCAATAATTTTACCAGCTGCAAAAACAGGCTTCAATTAATTCTGCCCAAAGCTTAAAATATAGATGCAATATTCACTTTTGCCCTGAATTGAAAGTAAAATGATAAAAGGTTCTGGCTTCAAGCCAAAACACCAATCCATTATTTACAGCCAAGATCCATGATACAGCCGCATATGTATACACAGCACAAAGAATTTACATCAGGCATACCTTAGACTTCCGTAACCACCTAACGAAGTTAAACAAATCAACTAGGCCTCTTCTACAGAACAAACCTGGAAGAAAAAAATGGCAGAACACAACTTGTTGTCACTTAGTGTTATATCAAAGGGGAACCCTTTTCAGTCGAAGGCCCAGAGGCAAAAGCAACAGACATGACTCTTAGCTTTGCACAGTAGGCTACATTCCTGTCATGCAGATGTGAGAAGGGTCTACACTCATGCACCTCTGAATCAAAATAAAGAGTAGACATTACAGTTTGAGGCCACATTTCAGCCTGGCAAATATATTCAATGGGGTTTCAGAGCAGGGTAGGTGAGGGGTTTGGCCTGGTGATAGGACATGGCTTGAACACAGTCCCAAGGGCAGGCTATGAAAGCCTAGAGGGTCACATTCACCCCGCAAGCCTGAGATTCCCCACCCCTGCATTCTATAATACAACATGTGACATGTATGTACTGTGTTTCCCCAAGCACATTACATAATTGTCTGGTGGCAGTGGAGGGAATAGGAGGTGAATGACGTGGTGATGTTATGCCATGTGCAATGTATTTCATTTTTTATTTATTCCATACAATTATTTATATCTCTCTTTTCTGGATCCTGCTGAGGCAGCACACTATTAGCATTCAATTATATATCCACATGTATTATTACACAAATTGTGTATTGTATTGCAAATTACCAAGAAGAGTGGAGGAAGAAACTTGGAGTAGGAGCTGCACTGCCTTTCTTGTGGCATCTGGTTCTGCCATATGATAAGCTGAACAATTAGAAGTATTTAGTGCTGAGGGAACTTGTGTCAGTGCTTCAAGGACTGTCACATCATAGAAGAAATCTTTTTGCATTTGCTCTTCTTCAAAAACTCTACTGTAGATTCATTCCTTTTTTATCATTTCAAGTTCTCATTTCTAGTCCTGATATGCCACATGAGTTCAGTTGTGAACTTGTCACAGGTGCCGGAGTAAATGTGCTTGTTCTGGGCTGTAAGCCAGTGTAAATTTCATGTTGGGTGGGAAGAAAAAACCACATTTAGTTGAGTTTTTGTTTGCTCGTTCATTTGATTAAATGGCGAGCATCCCAAGTTCCTTAGACAATTCCTGTCACAGGAATAAATTCCAGAGGAGCTCGAATGAAGCCACCAAAAACACAGTTTCATGTGATATATCCCTTGGAACTACAACTAGGGTAGATGATGTTGATGGATTTTGTTTGTGCAAAGGGGGTTTGAGCTCCTGGGAGGTCTATGTAAGACATCATAGATCTTAAACTGGGTGTTTGCCAACAATGCTCTGCTCCTTATTCTATCTGCACCAAGGCCACTGGTCAAAATCAGGCCCATCATAAAAACTCTCTGGACTGAAGACTAAGTTGTTGCATGTTCACCCATCCATTGGACAGTTCAGTCGATTGTCTGAGTTCTAAAGATCCTTTTCATGCCTTGTTCCACTCCTTATGGATTGCTCTCCTGACCTTAACCCATTGCCTCTTTTCTTGAATTTGCCCTGGCTACTGCCACTTAAAATTGTTTTAACCCTCTGATTTTGTAGAGACTTTGGAACTAACTATGTGTTAAATGCCAATCGCCCTGATGCACTCTATTAAAAAGAAAAGCAGTTTGGGAGGCTGTGATTTTGAGTAGAGAAGTGCTTAACCTTTTGTCTGATTTTTCCACCAAAAACTGCCTTATCTCCTACCCCACATGGTCTCTTTTTCAAGCATGAAACTGAAACGTGACATCTAGGCAATTGGGAAAGGTCCTCTCAGGAGGGAGAAGGAAGGAGTAACATCTTAGAAGCTATCCGTATCTTTTCATAGCATTGCAGTTGATACCTTGTCTCTTTCGCTTTCTGCTAAAATAGAGTCTTATTCCATGAGACAAGTACGCAAAATCCCAATGACCTTGTGGGATTTACTTCTTCTAAAGGAATGTGTTACAAACTACTCATTTTTGTTTGGCATCATTTTATGGAAGTATTTGGATTTCCCCCTTTTCTACAATGTAACAAGAAATCAAATACATGAAACCAATTCCACTGTGTGTCCATCCCCTACTACCCTCGTTCCTTGGAAGTCGATCGGAATCCATTCCAGAAGTCCATTCAACTTCCAAAGCATTCAAAAACCAAAGCGTGGCTTCCGATTGGCTGCAGGAAGCTCTATATATTTTCTATAATAGAAAATGACAAGATAAGGGGAAGAAATTCACAGGGATCTTTCATCTTGTAAACTCATCTGTTTCAGATAGCAAATATGGACTAGCTGTTGAGAACTGACTAATACAGTGGGAGGGTTTCTTCCCTATGGAAATGGCTCACAGCATAATTTCCCAACAAAATGGAATGGGTCAGAATCATGAAATCCACAATAATGGAATTGTTCAGTCCATCCCTAGTCAGTGAGTAAGACAGAGCACTGATAGCAAGGTTGGATCAAAGCTAAGGACAAACAGGGGGAAAAAAAGCATATGGGCAGATTGAGGAAACTGAAGAATAATTCAAAAGCTGGGAGGACTCGCTTAGCCTGCCAGCAGCCTATACCTGATTCTTCTTATAATAGCTACTTGGAGGTTGAAGCCAAGGAAAGAAACTCTAGTCATCCCATTGTGGCTAACATTCCAAGATAGAAGAGAAGCAGTTGAAGGTAGGGCTCAGTAATAGAATCTGGGTTGGAAGGAATACTCAATTGCAGATGGAATTGATATAGTTGTAGCAGTTATCACAAACAGATAGGATAAGGAGGGGTTAGAGGAGAGAGGAATCAGTCTATCTAGCAAGCCAAATGGTTGCCCAGGTGGAACAGTTGACTTACTGTGATGTTAATTTCCTCCCAGTTATCTGAATTATTATTAATATGTTTTTAAAAAGGGGGGTTTGCATTAGACTTATATGCAGCTTTAACCCATACCATCCTAGTATGAATGAAAGTATGTACAAAAAGGCCTCATTTAAATTACACTTTTAAAATGCACACTTTCTGAACATAAAATATGTATTTTCAATTTTTTTTGGTCTATACGTCTGAAAAATGCATATCTTTGCTATCTATTTGTATACATTTTTAATTAAAATGCCATTTTTTGGTTGTATCTTTTGCACACCAAAACTTCATTGTGAAATCCAGAGACCTGCATAATCGGACTGGAAATTTTGTTTAAAACAGGCTTCCTCAACCTCAGCCCTCCAGATGTTTTGAGACTACAATTCCCATCATCCCTGACCACTGGTCCTGCTAGCTAGGGATCATGGGAGCTTTAGGCCAAAAACATCTGGATGGCCGAGGTTGAGGAAGCCTGGCTTAAACCTTCAAGCAGGTTCAGGAGCATCTGAATGGATCAGCCCACTGCAAAGGCAAACCTTACAAATCTCTATACCTGATGTGCAGAAACACTGATATGTTAACCTCTGATATTTCTGGTCTTGATTTCAGTTCTGCAAAGTGTAGCCCCCTCATACTGCTCCATTTCTCATATACGTGGCAATATGTACATAGTTCAAAATAATTTCCTATGCCACGTTGGTAGGAATGAAAAATAGGGTTTGACAATGAAACCTTTAATGTCTCCTCCCTACCATTTTGGTTGCCAAGTTGTGTGGGCAATACACTAAGCTATTTTGTTCCTATGTGTTAAATAAACTTTCTCACTTGGAACCACAACAGGATTTTCCCCCCTTTGTGATGGAAAATTTCACCTTCTCCCATAGCAACAGCATGCATACAATACATACTACACTTGATCCTTGATTTTACAAAATGGTCCATATTTTTTTTTACCATGGTTTTTTTTAAAAAAAACAAACAAACTCTCTTTAAACATTCTCATTTCACACATCAAGTAAGTGAAATTACTAGAACTCCTTTGTCTGTTAAACCTCGTCTTTGGCCTGGATTCTAATATCTCAGGATATTCACAGACTGAAGTCTTCTTATCTTTCTGATCCTTCCAGTATTCAAAACAATATTTCACACCCAAATAACATCTCAGTTAGAGAACTCCTGGCCTTTGGGCACTAGAAATCTCAACATTTTTGTAACATGTACAGTTGACACCAAAGAAGCTTTCAGGTTGGCTCAGTCTGTTTCTGTTATTCAGATGCATGTCGTTTGCATTTGGCTTGCTAAATTTCCCCCTTAGTTAATATTTAATTGTTAGTACTACATGTTCTCACACTACCTCCCCGATTCTGCTGTCAGGCTCCCAACTTAGTGAAGCCTTTGATGTTGATATATTTTGGTTCTCATTTCACGTTAGAGAATTCTGCTTGCTCCCTTGAGGTCATTCTCAGGGAAATGTTCCACTCAGTCAGCATGGAAGATAATCAGAGTTCTAGTAATTCACATTTCAAACATTTTGTTTAGATAATGTCCTGAGGCATCTGCCACTACTTAATCTTCTGATGTGCTCTCTCTCTCTCTCTCTCTCTCTCACACACACACACACACACACACACAATGGATTCATATGGTAATATCTGTCCCCTTAACTGGATATTTTTAATTCAAAGACACTGGAAAGCCTTGGCCCAATGGAGCTAAGGTTAAAAGGACCTAAATCTTTTATTACCATGTTAAAGAACATGTGTGGCCTTGTACAAATTGTGATCCACTGCATACGGTGGTCCAAAAAGATCTTTATAAGCTTGTTTTTTTGTGCCTGTCTGGGACTGCCAAAGCAGGGGTCTTGTCAGTCAGCAAACAGGCCACAATACATAGTTGGCTGTGTTTGGCTTGGCAAGTCCAGCTTGGCTGAACTGATTCACTGAGATGAGAGGGCTTGTCAGAGAGACCAAATGTACATGGCCATTCTTCCAATTATTTTTTGACAAGTATAGACTTTCTTTTGTTAGAAGAATCAGGATAAACTCATGTATATTCATACTGCTCATCTGTACACATGTGACTAATCAGTCCTCATGATGGGAAGTTGGAAGCCTACACAGTTGAAGACAGTCTGAACAAACCTGTGGAACAATTTCAATATACATAGTGGCCATTTCATTTTACTCTGATTCAAGCCAAGTTGACAAAAGCAGATGTTCTTTTTCTATTGTTCTCTACCTAGACATGCATAGGGAAGAGAACCTGCTGGGATGATCAAGGGACTGTTGTTGTTGTTGTTGTTGTTGTTACATGCCTTTCACTAGCAGACCCCAGGATGAGTCATAATGATTTAAAATTCAGAATAGAAAACAGTTAAAACAAATTACAGTTGTAGGAATAGGGTGGGCCCTATTTTCGTTACTTCTGAATTGTCCCAGGCATTTTCAGTGATTACTTCCCGCCCCTTCAAAACAAAGATGCAAATACAGCATATTTAAATTCAAAGGCACTTTTAAAAGCTCCTGTGTCTTTAATTTGAATCTTCCTGTTGGCAGGTTCAGCTTACTTGTAAGTCAAAGCAGTGTACACAGGATAATTCTTAGGCCCTCTTTTGTCAAGGCACATATAGGCATTTGTATTGCTGAGGATCTACATTTTTATATACTTATTACTTTTTTAATCTCACTCTTCCTCCAAAAGAACAAAGTGCAGGTCTCTCTACCCCATTTTATAATCACAACTTTCCCTGGCCCAAGGTCATGGCTCAAAAGTGATCTGAGCTTCAATTTCTCCACTTACTCTAACTGTTACATCATGCCTGCTCTCTGATGCATATGCACTTGTTACAGAATAGTTTTCACTGACTGGTATTTGGTACAACAACCCATATTTGGGCATATAGTTCCTCCTCCCATATTTACTAAAAGGGCACATGAACTGACATGTTTCAATTTAAGATGATGGCTTTATGCAGGATTATTTTTTTATATGGGACACGGGTGGCACTGTGGGTTAACCACAGAGCCTAGAACTTGCCGATCAGAAGGTCGGCGGTTCAAATCCCTGCGCCGGGGTGAGCTCCCGTTGCTCGGTCTCTGCTCCTGTCAACCTAGCAGTTTGAAAGCACGTCAAAGTGCAAGTAGATAAATAGGTACCGCTCCGGTGGGAAGGTAAATGGTGTTTCTGTGCGATGCTCTGGTTTGCCAGAAGCGGCTTAGTCATGCTGGCCACATGACTTGGAAGCTGTACGCCGGCTCCCTCAGCCAATAAAGCGAGATGAGCGCCGCAACCCCAGAGTCAGCCATGACTGGACCTAATGGTCAGGGGTCCCTTTACCTTTACCTATTTTTTTATATAGTAGGCTGAAGAGAGGCATGAAGTACCTTCCTCTGAAAGGCTCAGTGGAATAGTGAAACAGGGATGGTGGACAATACAGCTCTGGTACTCACCCCCCCCCCCCCACTCACCAGGAGCTCAGACATCATATGTTAGAGCAGTATTTGCCGGTCATTGTAAATTGGAAGGTTTGGAGCTTCTTGTGTGTAGGATTGCTCCCTTGGGATTGCTCCAAATGGGAGTCAGCACATGTTGTGCATGACAATAAAATCTCTAGTTGGAGAACCTCTTATTATTTGTCCAGCCATATGTCTGGCTTAGTACATGATCCTTGTGCTAGGACAGTCACTGATTAAGGTCACCTAGTGGACATGATGCTTGATCAGGGCTGTGAATCCAGGTCTGTGCACCCCAAGTCCAACATGCTATCACACTACCCTCTGCCAGTTCACTATAATTGCCAGATGATACTCATAGATTGGATATTCTGCTACCTATCACAGCTCTTGGGGGGCTATTGAGATTGACACACAGCTGCCTGCATTTCTCATTTCTCTTTAGGGGTGTGCCTATGGAATCTCTTTGGGTGATTATGAGATTAGATCTGCTTCAACATTCACTACTACACCACTGGAAAGGCTGGAATATTTGCGCAAAAGGAAACTTTTAGTTTGTTGCTTTCCCACATTCCATATCTTTTCATTCCTCATCCAATATTTGGCGCTCTGCTGTAGTTCATAATGGAGCTATCATTAACATCAACAGAATCAAGAACGTATCCTAGGATTTTGCTAGCCATAAGGTTTTGTCTCCCCCCCCTTTTTTCTTTTTAATCAGCAGCAATTCTTCATGAGAACACCTAATCTGCACCTCCCCCAATAGGAGCTCCTTACTGGTAGAGAGCTCTAGCGCATACGAAGGGTTTGTCTCTGTGTCGTATTCCCAGAAGACTCCTCATTTTTTTTATTCTGTAAATTATCATAATTGTACGTCTTACAGTTGTAATATTTTCATGCTAATGTTGTAATTTTCCCTTTCCCTCTTTGGCTGGTTAACTGAATTGGCTTTAAGGTCTTTTGAAGCCTTCCCTTTTAAGTATGCCTGGGAAACATTTCCCCCTCTAGGTGCCAAACGCAGGTGTCAGTTAAAGCACTTTTCATGACAAATCTTGATACACTTGTCACACCTGGTAGGTGCTCTAAGTGGAAACCTAAAGTTTAAAGGCCACTCAGTGGTAAGAATAAAAGATTAAGACTTTCTTCGTTTATACATCTAAGGTAAGCTGTTCCCCCATAAAATCCACAATTAATACAAATGTAGCTCTCGATTTTATTGACTCTTTGGCTATAGCTTAAGGGAATTTTTTTAGTGGATTTGTCAAAATCGTGTTCTGCGATGTAGCTTCTTGCATGGAACGTGAGGTAAATTAATGGTGCTGAATTAATATCAGCAAGAGAAATGAAGAGAATTTTTTTTTTTTTTGTCCAAAGAGCATTGGAAATAACTGTCTGAAGGGATGAGGGAGATGTGATTCAAATTAAGCCATGTCGAATCTCTCAGCATCATGCCTTACTTAATAGGATTATACTTTTGAAGGCAACTGGATGGACCTCTAGGATTAAATCTAACCTCAGGTCAAAGAAACCTGTACCGAGTTTGATAGTCTCAACATAATTATAAATGCATGTTTGTTTATATTGTCGGTACAATCTGGAACAGGGATATGCAGCTGGCAGCAAGTTAAGCAAAGGTCTGGGATTCAGTTCACTATTTTGGATGGCAATATACTGGATGGAAATTGGCACAGCTGTTGGGAGAACCTGATACAGCTCGTAGTAGATGGAGAACTCCTGTCTTCAATAGCCAATGTTGTATATTTCATTAAAAAAATATTTTATGATGGCCTATACATGTAATGCTTAATAAAGGTTTGGCAAAGAAGAAGTATATTTCACATGTCTTGCTCATTACACTGTTTCCCACAGCAAACCTTGTTAAGAGAGATTGTGGCAATGGGGCCATCAAGAGGCAATTCATTTTTCTAAAGAAAGAAGGAAAGAAAGAAAGAAAGAAAGAAAGAAAGAAAGAAAGAAAGAAAGAAAAACATCCAGAATCCACTCTGATTTAACTGTTTATTTGTCTGTGTCAATACATCACAAAATGATTTCTCTATGCATCATTCAAAATCAATTAAAATAAACAAAACAATACAGTAAAAATAATCCACAATGAATCTTTAAAAAAATCTAACCCAGGCAGTGTAAATACAGTACAAAGTATAAACACAATACAAATCAAATAAGCTACATAGCAATAGGACATACAGGAGCTAAAGCGACTAACCTTACCACAGGAACGAAAATAAGATATTTAAAAGTATGGGAGAACAAAAAAGTATTAGCCTAGCAGCAAAAGGACAATAATTCTGGGTGCCAGGATATCTTCCCTAGAAAGATCATTCCACAAATAGGAGGCCACCACCAAAAAAGGTCTCTCTCTCATATGACACCCTTTAGTATTTAGGTTAAGGGGACTCAGAGAAGGACTTCCCTTAGATGACATTAAAATGTGGGTTGTTACATACTTGTTGGCGTCTATGCAATACTGTATTGAAGGCCACTCTGTACTCCCATGGAGAGGAAGGGTGGGGTATAAGTGTGAGAAAATAAACTATGGGAGGCTTTCCATCAAGTTCCAAGGTCACCAATTTAAATATTTATTTGACTTACATCGATAATTTTTTTCAAGCAGTTCACAATTAATATACAATCAATAAAAGAAATAATTTCCCCATTAGCTCCCCAAATGAATATGCCAAAGATTAAAACAGCAGTTATTCCATTTAAAACAAACAGAGGGTTTTTCTTTTCTTCACAATGAATGATAGAACACTTTTTTTTTATTTGTCTTTTCTATATTTTATTATTTAAATACACACAATGGCCCTTTCCCCATTGTGTGGGGAAATAAATTTTGTATTCATCAACATTTCAGTAGCAAGTTGGCAGTTTTGGTATTCAATAGCCCGGACTGTTTAAACACAACAGCATGTGAATTCCCAATCGTATGCATTCATTTCTGAGTCCTATGTCCAGCCAAAGAGATTCTAGACCAACTTTCTCCAGCCTAGTGCTAAGGGTTCATCCATGCTTTGGCCTGTCCTGTACCTAGAAAGCAGAGGTCCTAAGGACTGAAAGGCATTGTGATCCAAAACACCTGGAGGGCACGAGGTTGAGAAGGGACACCTTAGATCATTCCTCTCACCAGAACTGCCAGTTGTGTGACACAAATTCACTATGAAAACCTACAAAGTGGCATAAGAGCTGACTTCATTTATCAGGTCTTGGTCATTTAGTAGTTTAGTAAGTATTCTGAAGTTCAGAAGAGGCTATGGGACCTTTCTTTTCCTGGGCTCAGTAGCATTAAGGCATCATTCATCAGATGGTGCCAGATTACTCTTGGTGCAACAGTTCTCTTGCTATCCAACTGACTGCTCTGCTGTCCAATTGACTATATGAACTTTGGCAGCAGATAACCTGCTTTGCTATACTGGCAGCCAAGCATTTACTTTTATGTGTCTGGGAGCAATTTTGGCTTCTAGCTACCTTTGTCTGCTGGTGGCCTTATACAATGCATTAGCTTAAACTGCATTTCTGCAAACCTCTTTGTGTCCCTGTGGACATCAGCTTTTAGATAATTGAGGCCAATAATTTGGACATATATTTGGCCAGCCTAGGCTCCTCTTATTCTGTTCTTAGAGGACTTACAATGTTCTGCTGTTGGAATGCTGAGGTGTTATGAGTTTTAAGGTGGCCCTATGGCTTTTGCTGAGGACGTGGGTGGCGCTGTGGGTAAAACCTCAGCACCTAGGACTTGCCGATTGCATGGTCGGCGGTTCGAATCCCCACGGCGGGGTGCGCTCCCGTCGTTCGGTCCCAGCGCCTGCCAACCTAGCAGTTCCAAAGCACCCTTTTGAACTGCAAGTAGATAAATAGGGACCGCTTACCAGCGGGAAGGTAAACGGCGTTCCATGTGCTGCGCTGGCTCGCCAGATGCAGCTTGTCACGCTGGCCATGTGACCCGGAAGTGTCTGCGGACAGCGCTGGCTCCCGGCCTCTAGAGTGAGATGAGCGCACAACCCTAGAGTCTGGCAAGACTGGCCCGTACGGGCAGGGGTACCTTTACCTTTACCTTTATGGCTTTTGCTAGGCAACTTGTTTGCTTCTAGCTGGATCAGTTTAGCTGCCCTTGTTTTGCTTTTAGTTTGGTTACAGCTCATTTTACTGGCTATGTTTTGAAGACTGAAACATTCACTACACATATTTGGAGGTAAGCCTCACTGAACTGAGTGCTTTATAAAGAGAGAGAGAGAGATTACAGATGTGGTGATGGCCAACAAATTAGATGCAGGATATGGCTGTTGCTTGCTATTAGCAGAGGCAGTTTTATGGTTCGGCCAGACTGGGCACCACAAAGCAGAATGCGCCACAACAATGCTGTGGAATGGAGGGCAAGAGGTGGGGGCAGTTTCTGAATTTTCTCATTATACAGGGCCCCTCTGAAATTTTAGAGCCCAAAGTCTGCTTCTGCTATTAGTAAGGATGGTTATACTACCTCCAGGATCAGAAATGTCACATTGCTGAATTCCAGTTGATAGGGGTGAATTATTGGCAGAGCACTGCTAGTTTATGTCCTGCTTGTAGGTTTCCCATAAGCATCTGGCTGGTCAAGGTGAGAATAGGATGCTGGACTAGATAGGTTTTTGGTCTGATTCAGCAGGGCTCTTCTTAGGTTCTTTAGAAAAATGATCATGAACTGCCCCAAAGAAAAACAAATGAGAACCTGAATATTGGCTGATTTGTTTTTGTTTAACTAACTGGAAAAAATGCCGCATTATGACATTTTCCAACCTATCTTATATATCTTACCTAGTTTTTCTTCCTGTAACCTTTGTGTGTGAAAGAAAATCAAAACCATTCAACTAAATCAGTATTTACATTCAAAATTAAAAAGTGACAAAGCCAATAAGGGAGAAAAAAGAAGCTAAACTTATAGGAAGCCTGAAAATTTGTGTTTATCTATATATGCACAGCCAAGGCAAAGCATACACACACACCACAGTCCTACCCATGTATCCATTGTCTCCACATGTATGAAGGAAGATTGTGTAAAGTTGGGGCAGAGCAATTCCATACTCATATTGTATCAAGATTGAATATATGTTGCCACTACCAATATAGGTTCAACCTAGGAGAAAACATGCAACTTCAAAAAAGAAAAATGGTACTAAAATTAAATGCATCCCCCAAACCCCTAGAAGCACCACCAAAGGCAACCAATCAGGGACTTATTGTAGTGATGTCCACAAGTTGCTTGCTGCAGCCAATCAATTCACAACAGCAGGGACAGATCCTAACATGATTCCTGAATCACCACACACAGACTATGCAAGACAATGCCATAGCAACCCACTCCATCAACCTCTGCCAGCAAGGATTCAGCTACAATTATTGCCCAGGGATTCTCGTAGGCAAGAGCTTGAATCCACTGACGTCTATTGTAACCTTGGCTTTCTGAACACCACACACATGACATGACAGGAGAGGTGGTTTGGTTCAAATCTCTGTCCATCTGCAAAGCTCATTGGCTTAGGCACCTCAATATCTCTCAGTGTATCTCACATCTCAAAGTTGTGATAATAAAATGATATAGGGAGGTACTATAACATGTCACTGAGCTGGGTAGCAAAGATAAAATGGAAGCCTTAAGGCCTATTGCGCCCAACTGAATGTGCATGGAACTGGAGCCTAAATAATTGTTGAAACTCATAACAAATAGAGTGAGGTGTAAGGAAATAAAGGCTATTCAAATGAATGATATAAGTTTAGAAAGTTCAGAAAAAGTCTCATTTGAAAAAGATCCCCCTTCCAAAACACACACACACCCCACTCATACACAACCTAGTTTTTATCCAAATGAAAGTGTGAAGTGATGAACACTGAGGCAAAAATTCCTAACTTCATGTAATGCATACAGGTCTGAACTGGTACTGAGTGATCAGGTAGTGCATGTTGGAGTCATGGTGAATATCTAGATGAAGCTGACCCAGTATGTTGCAGCTGTTAAAAAGTGAATTCCATGTTAGGACACATAAGAAAAGAGACTGGAAATGAAACTACTACCAATATAACAATGCTGTTATCCAAACATATGGTGCTCTTGAAATACTGTTTACGATTCTGGTTACCCCATATCAGAAAGGATATTGTAGAGCTGAGACAGGTTTTTAAATGATCAAAAGGCTGGAGAAACACCCCTATGAAGGAAGGTTACAACATTTGGGGCACTTTAGTTATAGAAAAAATGGCAAGGAAAGGGGGTCATGATAGAGGTGTGTAAAATTATGTACAATTTGAAAGGAGTGATTAGAGAGGAGCTTTTCTTCTTTATGATACTAGAACACAGAGCAATATATGAAGCTGATATTGGAAGACAGACAAAAAGAATTAGCTACCAGTACTTCTTCACATAGTGCATAATTAAACTATGGAATGTGCTCTCACAAGAAGTAGTGATGGCCACCAAGTTGCATGACTTTAGAAGTGATTTAGACAAACCCATGGAGAAGGAGAAGACTTAGCAATGGCTACTAGCCTGATGGCTGTGATTATTTCAGTGCTACAGGTAACATGCCTCTGAATACCAGGGTCTGGGGAGCACAAGTGGGGAGAATGATGGTGTCCTTAGGTCCTGCTTGCAGGCTTCCCATAGGCATCTGACTGGCCACTGTGAGAACAGGATGCTGGACTAAATGGCCGCCCGGTCTGATCCAGGAGCCTATTCTTATGCACTCACTTCCTCTAAATCACCAAGGAAGTCTGCAATCTGAGGAAGTGTGTACTTGTGCTACAGTTCTAAGAATTTCTTTGGAAGGGCCAGTAAATCATAGTTATTACATGCTCATTTTCAGGTTTGTGAATGTAAACTCTTGCAGGACAGGATGTTTTGAAAACCTCAGGTTTGTTACCTCTCGCTATAAATTGTTCCAAATTGTGTGTGTGTGTATGATCTCTAACAGCATTATTTTCTTCTCATTGTTTGCATGCTGCAACTCACTGACACTTTCTATGTTTGTAGCATAATCGTCTTCCCAATGTTGAGAGGATAAAAGCAGAGAGGTACAGTCATGTGTGAATGTTTGAACTAGTTTATTTTAACTCATCTCTTGGGGGATATGATTTTTATTTTGAATGAAGGCACAGTTCACTGTCTCTCTCCCTCCCCCCTGGAATATTCTTGTTTTATAATTTAGCCATTCTTGTTGACAGACCCCATGTAACCCCCCAGTTTAAATTTTCTCTTTGTGATCCTGTCCATTAATTTGTTTAAATACTTACTTATTTACAGTTCCCATCCTGCCAGAATTAAGTTTTCCCTCTGGCAAAGCCCTCACTGCCTACCACCTGCTCTCTTAACTGGCCACAGCTGCTAAGCAGCTGCCTTTACAGATCATATTTTGTCTCTATAGTAACCATGCAAAGGCACCCATTGGCTAACAGGGAAGCATGCATCAGCATGACACCTTCTCTCCTCCCTGCCATTTCCATTGCTGTTGATGGACTCACTTCACCTCTGAAATAGATGATAAATCTGTTGAATGTTGCTTGGTTTGACTTTTCACATAGCTGCATGGCAATATGGATATATATCTATATCTATCTCCATATATAGGTGGAATCTCTGGGTCAGCCTTCCCCAACTTCATGTTCTCCAAATGCTTTGGATTCCAGCTCCCATCAGTGCCAGCAAATATAGTCCTGTTCCCATCAGCCCCTGGATTGTATAGCTGTGCTGGTTGGACCTAATGGGGGTTGGACTCCAGAATATTTGGGGTGCAGCAGTTTGGGGAAGACTGACGTGGGTCTAGGAAGAGAGTGTACTATAGTTAGAGATAGGTAGCCTATTTAAGCCCTGAATTAACACCCTATCATGCTACCTGCAGACAGGTCAATAGCATTTAATATAGAAAGTTAACCACCATCTGCCTTCCTGTTTAAATGTGAGCTAAACCAAATGTTAATTCCAGTATTCCTGTCAGAATGAAGATAAACTACAGCTGAACAAATTCTTTAAAAACATTCACCTTAGCAAATGTTCACATAGTTGCAACAACCTTGTCACCCTTTTATTCGTCTGGTGGCTGCTACTGCTTCTTATCAGCACCACTTCCCCCTTCTTCGTAGGCTGGGCAGTGTTTGGCATAGTTTACCAATGCTGACATTCCATGTAATCAAATTGCTTGTGGCAAACCACATAGTTTCTAAGCATCCGTGATGTCAAATGTGGAATTGTGACATCAGTGAAACATAGGTCTACACAGCCATTTTGATTAAATTGCAGTAGGGGCAACGGAGGCCAAGGACTATGATGTCAAAGAAGGAAAAATGCCATGGAGGAGGGTAGCATTTAAAAAAGAGGTATTTGATCCCCCCCCAAAGCCTGCTAAGCAGATGTTTTCTAACAAACATGAACACAATACGATACAGAGCATAATATTAAACATTACCAGAATTTAATGTGCTATAATCATTCCTCAGGTAACATAAGGACAGACTTATACTAAGTGTGATGGGGCACGAAAGATGAGTGGTGGAAACAGATTGGTGTGTATAATCAGTAAAATATTTGTTTTGATGCCGTATGTAGTAAATCCATATTTCCATTATAGGTAAAGGTAAAGGTACCCCTGCCCGTAAGGGACAGTCGTGTCCGACTCTAGGGTTGTGTGCCCATCTCACTTAAGAGGCCGGGGGCCAGCGCTGTCCGGAGACACTTCCAGGTCACGTGGCCAGCGTGACGAAGCTGCTCTGGCAAGCCAGCACCAGCGCAGCATACAGAAACGCCATTTACCTTCCTGCCAGAGCGGTACCTATTTATCTACTTGCACTTAGGGGTGCTTTCGAACTGCTAGGTGGGCAGGGGCTGGGACTGAAAGACGGGAGCTCACCCCGCTGCGGGGATTCGAACTGCCGACCATGCGATCGGCAAGTCCTAGGCACTGAGGTTTTACTCACAGCGCCACCCGTGTCCCTTTTCCATTATAAGGATTTCACAAATCTGCACAGTCCCCTGAAGGCATCCATAATGAACATACGTTGGGAAGACCAGGGCCTCACATGCAATTCATAATCATTTCTATCACTTCAGGAAGAAACCTCAGACCTCCTTCCATTCAGCACTGAATTCTGAAGTGACATTCTAAATGTGTTCAGCTGAATGGCTCATACGACTCTCCATAACTGGAAACCCTGCTTTGTCTGGGTTTCCAATTCTGGGGAAGAGTCGTAAGAAGGTTCAGCTGAATGTGCTTAGAATCCCAATTCATGCTCAATGTAACAAAGTCAGAAATGGAACCAAGCATATGATGGGGAAAATTATTGTGTGTTTCCCCTGCTGTCCTCCCCAACTTATTCATGTACTCAGGGACTAGAATGACTTCCACAGCCATAAAATGTAGTGATAGCAGAAAGAAATTTTAGTAGCAATTCCACAGAAAAGCCCATGTTGGCCTGAGCTCCTTTAGTTCACTGTATACATAGAACCGTAGTATTTGCCTCACTATATATTTTATTCAGTGGTTTAGTCATGCTGGTCACATGACCCAGAAAGCTGTTTGTGGACAAAGGCTGGCTTCCTCGGCCTGAAACGAGATGGTCATAGTCACCTTTGATTGGACTTAACCATCCAGGGGTCCTTTACCTTTCTTACCTTTTATCTGTGGCTGTTGTCAGAGACAATAAAGGGCCTTGCTTAGCTTCCTGCCCGCTGAGCCTTCCATGGCAGTTGTTGCTGGCATCCATCTTTCTTGAAAGACAATGGAGTGCATCTCCAGGGATTAAGTCAAACCACTGTTAAGAGCCCCTAAGTGACTTCCCAGGAGTGCAAGGCTGCGGCAGTGTGTATAGAGGTCCAACTGCCCAGAAGACAAGACCCCCCCTCTCAGCCTTGCTTGTGTAGTCCAGAGGAAAGCAGTGCAATATGTGTGGCACCAGCTTGGTTGCAGGAGTTGCTGGACAGTAACTGAAAATAGCTAAATTTTGTCCAGTATAAGAAATGGAGCTTACATGACATTACATTGAATACACACATGCACGTTTAAAATATGAAAATCTATTAAATGCATAAATGGAACAAAGAAAGAAAAGAAACCTGCAATTTTCAGATGTTTCAGAAATGAGATGAGTAAAGGTGGATTTTTGTAACAATATCAGGAAAAAAGTCAAATGAGATATCCTGTCATGAAGATATAAAATAAATAGAATTAGTTCTCCTGATTGATTTTAAGTTATCAAAAAATGTCCAGCTTTAGACAGATGGCATTTAGCTATAAAAGAGATTAATATTTTGTAATATCCTACTGAGACCAAAAGAAAGAGGGGTTTTTTGCGTTTTGTTTTTCTAGAAACTTCAAAACATGGTATTGAAAATGTTTCTTTTGTTGGGAGTCAAAATGTATTATTCTCATTTTGCCAAATAGCATAGAAACATAACTATCAAGGGATGTTCTGTACTGACAGGCTTTGAGGTGGAAGATTAGTTTTGAATGAGTAAAACTTCAAGTAATTTGCCAGTTCTTTCAATCAAAAGTGGGACAGATGTTTTATAAATAGTGTGCTCCATGGCATAATAAGTTATTTTAAAGGTTTGCAATAAGGTCAAATCAAAACCCATTCCAGTGGCAACTGGCAGGTGGCAACAATTAAAGTATAAATTAAATCTCAAAGTTGCTTTCCCCCCCTTTCCAAGACAAAGACGACTCTGATTTAAATTTAGTTGATGAATGGACTAACTCACAATGGCTGCTTGGTTACAAAAAGAAGCAAGTACAAGTTCTCATCAAAAGCAAATGCAACATGTATTTCCATCCTTTTATTCTGTGCCTGGTGAATGACAAAGTGTACTTCAATGACTTGTCAACAGGTATTGGGATAGAAAGAAGCAAAGCATATATATGATGATAATGGGCAAGGTCCAAAGAACCAAAATGCTAGCTGTGTGAATTCAAGGGGCCTTGAATAGATAACAACATCTCCACCACCACCATCACCCATGACACACTATTTTTGGTGCCTGGGGAGGGAATTGGGAGGATTCATAAGTAATTTGTAAAAAAGCATGGGGATCAACAAGTCAGAGAAAAAAGTCAAAAAATCCACTGCGCTAGCAGAAACTGCTTGGAGGATCGTGACTTTTTTTTGCTGAATCTGTCCATAGTAATATTTTGCAATAGCAATTATAACAGAAGCCAGCATGAGCCAGTGAATGTTGGACCTTATATTAAATTCCTGGACAATCACATACCATCTGGATGGCACTGAGCATGCCATAACAACCCATCTTCTAATGACCTATCTCACAGAGTTGATGACAGGGTAAAAATATCTGGTGCAGATATGTACATGTGGTTTCTGATGCATTTATATAGCTCCACACAAGCAAAAGCTGTTCACTTCCGTATTGCTTGATGTTCTCATGCACACAGCTGAGAGCTGCATGGGGACCACTTATGTAAGCCTCATTGGAACTCTGGAGAACTTTGGATCACAGCAATCTACATATTTAGAGTCCTGTATGGACACTGACCAACCCAAACATGCATTTTTAAGTCTTGTTGGTTTCAAAGGGAGAGTTAAGCATATGCTTGACTGCCTCCCTTTGAAATCAGTATGACTAAAAAGTGGTCAACTGGATTGTTCACAGTGTACAGCATCATTAAAAGGGATGAATATTCAATATGGGCGAAAAGCTGCAATACTTCAGGATTGTGAGACCCCTCAGGCTATGCTGAATGCTGCCATAGTTCATGCTGCTTTGCCACTCCAGCTGAGTGCTATAGCTAAACTGTAAGGCCCCAGTTCAGTAAACACAAATACTCTAATTCACTCTTGAAACTCTACAGCACAAACAGCAGGGGAGGATAAAAACAATAAAAGTTGGGAGGGGGGCAAGAGCACACAATGGAAGAAAACAAAATACAGAACAGAGCAAAAAAAGAAAAAAAGAATACGAGCACAAAATGAAGGCTCAAAAGGAAAATAGAAAAGTGATTGACAAGGCAGTACAGAAGGCAGAGAATAAAAGAACAGAATAAGGAGTAGGGAAAGTTGTAAATAAAGAATTTGAAAAAGCAAACAATCCCAAAATCCAAGATAGAAAAACATTTTGTTAAATGCATGAAATAGAGAGTCATTAGAACAGAGAAACACTGTGTTTGGATGTAACATAAAACCATGGCTGGGTGCTACATGAATGAGTTTGGGGTTTGTGTCTGTGGGGAGAGTTTGTTATTATGTCCCAATTGGTTACAAACTGGTTAGTTTCAACAGTGAATTTTCTGAACAAGTCAGCTTCAAAAGCATAGTTTACCATCCTGGCTTGTTTTGACAAACCCCAGTTAAATCCAACCACAGTTCCAAGTCTG